CCTTTGCAATATGTATGAGCCTCATTAACACCGACATAAAGATGTGTGCCTATCAATAAAGTTTGAGATTTGCTGATCACTCATATTGCGTGCTGCATTTCTCCCACCGATCCCAACAATGAAGGAGTCGCCACTTATCCTTCCCTGGCTTTTTTCTTACAAAGACCGGGGAATTCCAGCAGCTAGATGTCTCTTCAATGTGTCCTTTAGCCAATTGTTCTGCCACAAGTTCCTCGAGCGCCTCTATTTTTTCCTTACTGAGTGGCCACTGTCTTTTCCAGACTGGGTAATTTTTCAGCCACGTTAACTTGTGGGCAGGGCGCTCGACAGTGGCCGCTATTAAAAATCCTGGGGTGTTTTAGGGATGACCAATTTGACCCCTCACTGGGACATGGTGTCTCTACCCCACAAGGGAGCTTTGTAATTAGTAACAAATGGACGGACACTGGCCAATTTTCTGTCTGGTCCCTCAATTTGCAGAACGCCCTTTGATATCTTTGCCAATGTGAATCCTCCTACACCTCAGATTTGACCAGGCACGGGCTGCAAATCCCAATGTGACGGCCACAACCTTTCAGGTATGATTGTCACATCTGCCCCTGTGTCAAGCAACCCTTCCACGTGGAGATGTTCTGTTCCACACACTAGGTTGTATCCCATAATGGGTTTGTCCTCGCCAACCACTTCTGCCCAGTATACACCTGGTGCCTTGTCATCTACTGAAATTTCTGCTGGAACAGGAATGGCCTGGGCGATGATTTGCCCCTTGGCCAAATAGAAGGGTGGCTGTGGACAGCGCGCCAGGAGAATGAGGTTGGGTGTGTCCCCTTTGATGGTCATGGGAGCCACCTCAATCTCCGTGGGTGTGTGTGCAGTGTCCCCAACCACAAAGTACTCACTGTCCAATCTTGTGCGATCTTTTGTCAAGTTCTGCAAGTCCTCTGGCAGATCCACTCCAATGACCGTCCATTGGGTAGACCTGAAAGCAAAAGCTTTGGCGGTCACAAGCTTGAAACGCTTGTGAGACCACCAGATTTTATCGAGTAAATGGTTTTTTGCATTCCTGCACCCCCCTTCCCTTCATCCCCCTTTTCTGTTTTGAGGGAGGTTTCCCCTTCAGGGAAGCCCGCGGCATTTATGTCGTGGTACCGGGCGGGTGGGCGCTGGCATGGGGGTTTTTGGTGTGAAGGGTGTCTTTAGTTGCTGGCTTTGGGGGCAGTCCTGGGCAAAGTCTCCTGGCTTTTTGCATATGAAGCAAATGGCTTGTTGGAGTTGTTCTGGTGACATCTGTGCCCTCCTCACTCCTGGAGATACAGCTGCCACCATCTCTGGGTCTGTCGGCCTTTACCACGCCTCCCGTGCAACAAACAGTTCCGCCTTCCTAGCACAGGCTTCCATCATCTCTGCCAGTGTAGGCAGGGGGTTGAGAGGCAGTCCCAGGAGCACCCTGCTGCCGCCTTCATTGGCATTCCTCTGCGCCATCTCTTTCACTATCTCCATCTGTGTCCTGGGATCCCGTACTTATCTCTCAACCTGTGCACAGAGCCAGTGGACAAACTGCAAGAAACTTTCTTTAATGTTTAATGTCAAAGAAACTACCACTACCTTCAGCAGCTGGTAGCTGGTGAAAAGCCTTGTCTGCAGCGTTTGAAATCTTATCTAGAATGAATTTTGACAACACCCGAGC